CATTAACAACTGTTAATCCATATTCCCATCCTGGCAGCCATAATCTGCTTTTTATCTCTAAAGATTTGCCTTATCTGGACACTATGTAAGTGCGATCCTATGGTAGGCGGCCTTTCGTGTCTGGCTTCTTTCACTTCACATCATGTTTTCAAAGTTCATCTCTGTTGGAGCCTGGGTCTGTCCTCCATCCCTTTTTATGGATAAGTAATATTCCATTCTGCGGATATACCAGTTTACCCAGTCATCAGTTGATGGGCATTTGGGTTGATTCCACTTTTTTATTTACGGATAATGTTGCTACAAACATGCTTGTGCACGAAGAGCGGTTTCCAAATAAAAGTACACACGTATCACAGTGAGCCCCCAATAATGTATAGAATTGTTGAATTACTATACTGTACACTGAAACTAGCATAATACTGTAGATTAACTCTATTGGAATTAAAATTAAAAATTAAAAAATGATTCATGACACTTTAAAAAAAAAAACCGGTTTCCAAGCCCTGAATGTCTCTCCGCTTGCTGGACCTTCCAACATCCATGTAAGGGGTTTGACTCCAGTGAGCTGTGCACCCACGAATGAGTCCCTTCCCTTCTCTGCTTATGTCTCCCCATCTTTCCAGACAGGAGCCTGTGCCCTTTTATGCACAGATATTCTGTGCCTTGTTCACGTTCCTGGAAGAGCAGGGGAGTGTGTGGAGGCAATGATAAACAGTTTGTATTTATAGCTGCTAGAGCCAAAGGTGGGCATCCCCGTGATCAACTACCAGAGCCGACAATTAGGAGAAGGGCCTGGCTTTAGCACCCCTACCCTGGGGACTCCCACCTGCTGCTCACTTCCCCCAGAGGACCAAAGCTTCTGCCCCCATTTGGTGCAGACAGGTGGGTTCCAGGATCCGGAATCTCCTCATAGGGAGGGAATTTGAGGACTGCCTCTAAGTCCCCTGTCCTGGCTTTTGCCTTTGCTGCTGGGTTCCTGGAGTCCTGCCCAAATCTGATTGGGCTCAGATCCCAGGAAAGCAAAGCTGGAAATGCAGAGGCCCAGACAGGGGTTTGAAGAAGGGCTGGGAGGACTCCGGTGCTGGCTGGTCCCCTGCAGTCCATCCCAGAGACCAGGTTGATACTGTTCATTTGGGTTTCGGGCCATTTGTGGGATATCTGCTGCCTTAGCAGGCACTGGCCTTAGCAGGCCCACAGACGTCAGCAGCCAGTCCAGGGGCTGGGAGCAGGAGTGAAGATAAATTACCCGGATCATAATTTCATAACATAACATATATTAGTAGCTGTTATGTGGTTAAGTGCTCAGTTACTTCCATCTCCATTCTAGAGATACAAATGGAGACATGGAGGCTCAGAGAGGGGTAACGATTTGTCCAAAGCCACACAGCCAGGGATAATAGTGTCAGAACTCAAACCTAGATCCCAAACCAGCTCATAAATAAGTAGAAGGCTACTAGAGTAGTAACAGCCATAAAAGCTAATCTAAGAGTCTTATGAATTCATTGGACTCTCATTGCACCCTTGCATTGGACACCTCCACCCACCCCCACCCCCCAACCCCCACCAGATCTTAGAGATAAGGAAACTGAGGCACAGAGGGTTGTTTTTTTTTTTAAAGATTTTATTTATTTATTTGTCAGAGAGAGAGAGAGAGCGAGCACAGGCAGACAGAATGGCAGGCAGAGGCAGAGGGAGAAGCAGGCTCCCCGCCAAGCAAGGAGCCCGATGTGGGACTCGATCCCAGGACGCCGGGATCATGACCTGAGCCGAAGGCAGCTGCTTAACCAACTGAGCCACCCAGGCGTCCCGGCACAGAGGGTTTAACACCCATTTGGAAGTTCCCCAGCCAGGAGGTAAGGCCCTGACTCTAAAGTCAGGCTTCGGTGGACCTAGGAAAGAAAACAGTCTGTGAGCAGGGCCAGGATGGGTGAAGAGGGGTGCCTACATGCTGGGAAGGAGACCTGAGGTGCTCTGACCTTCCCAACACAACCCTGAGCAGCTGACAGCCTTCCCCCAGGAGCCCTGAGGCCTCTGCCCCCTTTTCTTCTTTTCTAGGCATTCTGGGGCTGAAAGGAGGGGAGGGCGGGGCACATGCTCAGGTACAAAGCTGACTCAGGCCTTAGAATAACAGGCCCTAAGGACGGCATGTAATAATCACATAATATGCCCGGTGCATAATTCATGCGTCTGTCAGCAGAACATCAATTACGTGGGCCTTCCCGGGAGTTGTCTAGGGGTTAGAAACTAGAGCAGGCTTCCCTTGCCAGCCTCTGGGGGAAGTGGGACCTCCCAGCTCTTAAAGGAATAGGCTCCCCGGGAATCTGCTCTTCTGCCGGCTTCCCTTGGGCTGGTGGGAGGGGATCAGTGCCTACCTACAGTAGGAAGCTGCCGGGCTCAGCCTAAGGCCCTGGCTGGCTGCCTCAGAAAATCTGACCCCCTCTGTGTCTAGCCCTGTGCTGGTAATCCCATGTGCATAATCTCCTCGCCCCCCACTCTGTCATTTATGAGGGGCTGGCTACTGGTATACTCTAGGGTTTCTCAACCTTGGGATTGTTGACATTTTGAGACAGATCATTCCTTGTTGAGGGACTGTTCCTGTGCACGGTAGGATTCCGTAGCAGCCCTGACCTCCACCCACTGGCTGCCAGGAGTAGCCCTCCCCTATTGGTTGTGGTTGTTGTTGTTGTTGTTTTTAAGATTTTACTTATTTATTTGACAGATCACAAGTAGGTAGGGAGGCAGGCAGAGAGAGAGGGGGAAGCAGGCTCCCTGCTGAGCAGAGAGCCCGATGCAGGGCTCCATCCCAGGACCCTGGGATCATGACCTGAGCCGAAGGCAGAGGCTTTAACCCACTGAGCCACCCAGGTGCCCCGCTCTTGGTTTATTTTAACCAAATAAAATTTGGTTATCAAATTTTTGATACCAAAAGTTCCTGTGGCATTTGTCAAATTTTGACAAATGATCCCCAATTATGAATGACTGGAATATCCGCCATTTCAGAAGTAGGGAAACTGAGGCAAGGAAAGTTTCAATGCCAAGGCCTCCTGGCCAGTAAATGACAGAGTTGGATTCTACCTCAAGAACCCACACTCCTAACTCAGTGCAGGAGTTCCCAAAGTATGCCGCCGGAATGCTTTATTCCAATAAGCATGTATTTATTTTAATGAAGATTTAACACACCTTTCCCTAGCACACAAAACCAGCATCTTTGCTAATGTCTTTTCTTCGGACAAGGCTAAAATAGAACAGAAAAGGTGAGCAGTGTGTGTTGTTTTGCTACTGAGGGAAGAGTAGTACAAGCAACAAAAGAACACATACAATAGGATGTTGGTCCTGAGCGAAACAAAATAGCAGTTTGTTAGGGACATAGATCTCTCTATTAGAAACTCTCCAGAAATGAAGAGAGATGAGAAGAAATTGTGGTTCCCCCCAGGGTAGAGAAGGGTGATGTCAGCGTTACTGTCTCATACTGTTTCTTCACCTGGGTCATAGGTTCACAAGTGTTCACTTGATTATGGTTTGTAAATGTACATAAATTTGATCTACCTTTGTATGTATCAGATATTTCTTTTTATAAAGTGGTTACGGAATTTTACTTTTGCAATAAGTGAATATGAAGAATTAAAACCCAAAAGCTTTTGTTTAAAAGACAGAGGATACGTTGGATGCAAGCATAGCAAAGAAAACAAAACGAACAAACCTGGGAAGTTGGTAGAGCAGCTGAGGTTGGGGAACCACGTGACACCCACTTTCATCATCTGAGCTGGCTGAGAAAGACACCAGAGCTTTCCTGCTGCTAATGGCATCCCTACTGCCTAGCAAGGTGCCTCACCAATAGTACATGATCAATAAAAAGTAGCCAAATATTTTAAAACTGATTTCTGGTCCTATCCCTTCCACTTGTTGCTCTGTGAACTTGAGCAACAGTGAACAAACACTTTGGGAGCCCCTGCCCCGGGTTAGGTGTTGGGGGTGCAGAGATAAGGCTCAGAACCCATCCCTGTCCCCAAAAACTCATAGATTCTGGGCAGTGATAAACACACACACACAGAGCCCCCTCTGTAATGGAACGTGTCTAAAAGTACCCACAGAATGACGAGGGAGCCCGAAGGAGGGAGCAGCCAGCCCCGCCAAGGATGACCTCTGCAGGGAGGCGACGCATGGGCGGAGTTTTAAAAGATGGCCTGGCCTTCACTGAACAGAGAAAAAGAGACACAGCTGTGTAGGATTGACCAATAGCGTGTGGCCAGAGAAGGGTGACATTTGGGAACCTGTGTCAGGAGAGGCCTGAAGAGCGGGGTTGGGATGAAAATGCAGGCTTGACAACCCGGTGTGGTGAGCGGGGATTCACTGCAGAAAATGGAAGCCTTTCATACTTAGCCCAGCCACAAGGGCACTGGCTCAGGGGATAGAGCTGGCCATTTCGGGACAGGGCAGGAAGCGAAAACCAGCTGGACCCCTCGGAGGCTGGGTGGGATAGGCTGATGGGGTGCTGTGGGCTGAGAGACCTCCCCTGTGAGGACAGCTGGCATGTATCAGACACTCTGCGCGCGGCTGGAAGCTGTCCTGATGCCTTGCCCGTGTGAGCGCATTTATGCCTCACAGCGGCTCTCCGAGGTAGACATTATTTACCATCCCATTTTGCAGAGAGGAAAATGAGGCTTAAAGTAAACAACTGGCCCAGGGTAGGAAGTGGCAGAGCTGGGATTCGAACCCAAAACAGCCTGACACCAGAGCCCAAGCTCTCAATTGCCAACCCTACACCCTCTTTCAGATCTCCTGCATCCTCACTGGTGACCCCGCCCCCTGGGCTGGAATATTAGCTTTAGATCATTGCCGTCTCTGGGCCTTGGTTTGTACATCTGGAATAAATGGATTCGAATAAGGGGTCTTTTTGCTCAGACATCCGGGCATGTTGAGAGCAACTGCAGATGCAGGGTGTTGAGATGGTCATCCTTCCTGGCAGGTGGTAACAAAATTCCACTCTGTTCTCCTTGCAGATTCTTGCCATAATTTCCATCATGTTCATCGTCCTCTCCACCATTGCCCTGTCACTCAACACGCTGCCTGAGCTGCAGAGCCTCGACGAGTTCGGCCAGACCACAGACAACCCCCAGCTGGCCCACGTGGAGGCCGTGTGCATTGCGTGGTTCACCATGGAGTACCTGCTGCGGTTCCTCTCCTCCCCTAAGAAATGGAAGTTCTTCAAGGGCCCGCTCAATGCCATTGACTTGTTGGCCATCTTGCCGTACTATGTCACCATCTTCCTCACCGAATCCAACAAGAGTGTGCTGCAGTTCCAGAACGTCCGCCGCGTGGTCCAGATCTTCCGCATCATGCGTATCCTCCGTATCCTTAAGCTCGCACGCCACTCCACTGGGCTCCAGTCCTTGGGCTTCACCCTGCGGAGGAGCTACAATGAGCTGGGCTTGCTCATCCTCTTCCTCGCCATGGGCATCATGATTTTCTCCAGCCTTGTCTTCTTTGCTGAGAAGGATGAGGATGACACCAAGTTCAAAAGCATCCCAGCCTCTTTCTGGTGGGCCACCATCACCATGACGACCGTTGGGTATGGAGACATCTACCCCAAGACTCTCCTGGGGAAGATTGTCGGGGGGCTCTGCTGCATTGCAGGGGTCCTGGTGATTGCTCTTCCCATCCCCATCATTGTCAATAACTTCTCTGAGTTCTACAAGGAGCAGAAGAGGCAGGAGAAAGCGATCAAGCGGAGAGAGGCTCTGGAGAGAGCCAAGAGGAATGGCAGCATCGTCTCCATGAACATGAAAGATGCTTTTGCCCGGAGCATCGAGATGATGGACATTGTGGTTGAGAAAAATGGAGACAATATGGGTAAGAAGGACAAAGTGCAAGATAATCACTTGTCTCCCAACAAATGGAAATGGACAAAGAGGACACTGTCTGAAACTAGCTCAAGTAAGTCCTTTGAAACCAAGGAGCAGGGATCCCCTGAGAAGGCCAGATCATCTTCTAGTCCTCAGCACCTGAACGTCCAGCAGTTGGAAGACATGTACAATAAGATGGCCAAGACCCAATCTCAACCCATCCTCAATACGAAGGAGTCAACAACGCAGAGCAAACCAAAGGAAGAACTTGAAATGGAGAGTATCCCCAGCCCTGTAGCCCCTCTGCCCACACGTACAGAAGGGGTCATCGACATGCGAAGCATGTCGAGCATTGATAGCTTCATTAGCTGTGCCACAGACTTCCCGGAAGCCACCAGATTCTCCCACAGCCCTTTGGCATCACTTCCCAGCAAGACTGGGGGCAGTATGGCCCCAGAGGTGGGCTGGCGGGGAGCTCTGGCTGCCAGTGGTGGTAGATTTGTGGAGGCCAACCCCACCCCTGATGCCAGCCATCGCTCTACCTTCTTCATTGAGAGCCCCAAGAGTTCTCTGAAGACGAACAACCCCCTGAAGCTCCGAGCACTTAAAGTCAACTTCATGGAGGGGGACCCCAGTCCACTAGTCCCCGTTCTGGGGATGTACCATGACCCTCTTAGGAACCGGGGGAGCGCTGCCGCTGCTGTCGCCGGACTCGAGTGTGCCACACTCTTGGACAGGCCTGTACTGAGTCCAGAGTCCTCCGTCTACACCACAGCAAGTGCTAGGACGCCCCCCCGATCACCTGAGAAACACACAGCAATAGCATTCAACTTCGAAGCAGGTGTCCACCAGTACATCGACGCGGACACAGATGACGAGGGGCAGGTTCTCTACAGTGTAGATTCCAGCCCTCCCAAGAGCGTCCAGGCGAGCACCAGTCCCAAGTTCAGCGTCGGGACAAGATCAGAGAAGAACCACTTCGAAAGCTCCCCCTTACCCACCTCCCCTAAGTTCTTAAGGCAGAACTGCATTTACTCAACAGAAGCATTGACTGGAAAAGGCCCCAGTGGCCAGGAAAAGTGCAAACTCGAGAACCACATCTCCCCCGACGTCCGCGTGTTGCCGGGAGGAGGAGCCCACGCGAGCACACGGGATCAGAGCATCTGAGCTGCCTCCCCACAACATAGACTCGTGGCGAGACCCGAGAGGCGTGCCGTCCAGCTTCCCTGCCGCAGAGCCTTTCCGCACGAACTCAGAAAGGCTCTGCAGAGCCTCCAGACAGAAGCAAAACTCTACGGGAGGCTCCCTAGGTCCTTGAGAGCCACGACAGGTATGACAGAATGCAGTCGGCCAAGCCACAGGATGTGGCATCTCTTTGTACCAAGTCCACTGCCCTCTTTGGGAGATGACGTGGGCAGAACTCACAGCCACCACTACCACATGCTGGACCTAACGAAGGCCACCTACTCCCCACTTGTCTGTCATGGCTGTCCATCACAGCCTCGCGGGGAGAAGGGGGCGCAGCCTCTCCAGCCCTCCTGGCTTCAGCTGGAGAAGGATGCCGGAACAAGCAGCTGGGCTGACCAATTTGGTTTTGGATGTTACCTGGCCACTTCTAGGAACTCCTGTCCATCACCTCCTGGATGGATCCCACTGTTAAGAAGGCTACAGAGGATACTCGTGTCATGGGGAAATTTCTGCGCCATCAGCCACGATCCCAGCACGAAACCCTTACTCAAATGTCTTCATTGACTTCAGTGTTCCATAGTACCTGAGATTTTATTCTGAGATTTCGTCAGGGTGAGTTGCACCACTTGTCCTTGATTCTAATTGCCCCCTGGCAATCCGGGAAGGGTTCAGACGGCAGGCACTCAGCCGGCAGTATGAACTGTGAGCAGTGCTGTAGGGTTGTTATAAGGAAAACACTTTCTGTGCATCACTAGTATAGACTCAAAAGATATGCAAGTGTCAAATATGCAAAAGAAATAGCTTATTCAAAGAGACTGTGTGTTACTGAAGAACAGAATAAAATCTGATTTTTTTTTTAACCTGCAAAAATGAAAGGAAAAAAACAAAATCCCCAATTGAAATGCCCAATTCAGACTTTTGAATACTTCCTGTGGCAGCAGGGAAAGCATCTACTATAATAGAAATTCTTTTTTGTTTCCTGTGGTATTCAAGTTTAAAAAAAAAAAAAAGTTAAAATAAAAAGCACTTTATGTTTTTCAAAAATAGGTTTTACCAGGGACAGTGTCAACGTCTTGCACTTTAAAACAAGCACTATTTCCCATGGGCCACTTTCTGGGACTATAGCTGGGTTGTTGGTACATGCCCGTGTCCAGCCACGGGGTGGGGTGGGGGGGTGTTGTGCTGGTCCTGCTGTTTGCTGTGTCAAAGTCTGTGGCCTCCTCCCCTGCCCCTCTGACGCTTCCCATTAGTCCCCTTGCAAGGAAGGGTACTGACCCCTCGAGTGGGGCCTCCCGCAGAGTCACGTGTACCAGAAGCAGGCACATCTCTGAAGAATACAGTGGACGGTGGGCACTGGGTGTTTACTCTGTCCTCTTTCTTGTCAACCAGCTGTTGGTGTGTTTTCAGTCTCCCTGTCTGTGCTCCAACTCAGCTCTCCTTCCTGCAGCCGTCATCGCGGCCAGTACAGACAAAAGCAATAAGTATTCGTGTGCGTTGTGAACGGTTCTGGCGTATTTCTTGGTGTTGGTCTTCCTGTCCCCTTTTGATGACCTGGCATTGGCCTGCCTGAGTGGGGTCCCACAGGATGGTGGTGTTGGCCATTCCTCGGTTCAGAAACATCGGGTTGAGCCACCGGGTAGCATGATGTCATGCTGTTGGGAAAGATGACATGTCTTTGATCTGCCTGGCTTGGGTACAGTGTACTGATGTCGTTCTCTTAATACAGCACTGATGGACGATGTCCCAAGTACAGTAGTGTAGATCTGCCAATCCACCATCTGGTGACAGGCGTACGTCTTCCTGATGGAACAAATACGGCAGGGTTCGCCTGTCCTTCACACAAGGTGTTACCGGTTGGCCTGTTAGTATAATGGCACGATCTGTCTGTCCGTTCACAAATGTCACGGAGTCATTTCACCTGCCCTCCGTACAGTGGCATGAGGTTGGACCACCTGTCACAGGTATGATGACACGGAGTCATTCCACCGCCCTTACAAACACCTGTTCTCTGCTGAATCCGTACCTGGTTCATACTGCTTCGAGGTGTCTCCGAGGACTAGGGATCCCTCCAGAAGGGTGCAGTCCTGTTCTTTGCTGTGTTACCCAACAAAACGATGCCGCAGTATCTTGACGCTCCGAGAAATCTTCAGAGCACCCTGGCAGCAACGGCAAAGGGGCAGGGAAAGGGTGAGGGCGCCCTGTGCTGGCGACACGCCCGGGAGAGGAGGCAGCAGCGGCCCGAGCACTTTGCGGGGCACACTGGGGGCTGGGGGCCTCCTGAGGAGCGGCCGCCTGACAGTCGTCCCCGAGCCATGTCAGCTCATGCGTCTCTTCCTTGTTTTTATCACCATTTCCGTCGGCCGTCAGCACAAACGTGAAAATTCAGGGAAAACAAACAAATGCTTTTTGATAAAAGTAAATAGTTGTGATTTCCGATTCAGATATTTTTAGAGCTGATGCTATCTGTAAAAATCAATAACAATAATAATAGAGTCTATTTTACATATCAGGAAAGTGAACATGTTTAAACATAGCCATATATAGCGAGAAGGTACTTAACCACCCCTTCTTCAAATCGAGGCATTTCATTTGGTGGTTGAAGCAGATGAGAAGTGTACAGATTGGATATGACTTCTTGTTTCTTTCTTTTAAACTAATAACCAATTGGTGCAACTCTCCTTGTAACCAAAGGCCCTTTCTGCCTTGTGCGGTCACACAGGACCTGGCCCTCCCTTCCCCGTGTAGTTTGTCTGACCTTAAAGTAGCATTTTATTGAGTCACTTTTGAAGGACGATTTCAGAAGTATCATTAAGAACCTACCTTTTCAGGCTTACAAGCCAGAGTCCTATAGAGTTCTTATAGAAACAGAATAACTGAAACTCAGCATATACTATGCTTAGAAAGTATCGCATTTTGTTTTGGTTTTTTCTTTTACTTGTGTACGTATTGTGGGAATATAGCTTTTATCCTGTGCCCAACTCAAAATAAGAGTATTGTAAGTTTTCCCAAGCCCCACCTGCCAAAAAAGGAACAAACCCCGATTTTTAATATGTGTCTAGCCCTGCCTGTACCTGTGTCCATGCACTGGGAAATCTACCCGAGATTCTCCACTGAGAAGCTGACCTTGACAGACAGGTCCTCATAGAGGAGAGGAAAGCATGGATTGGAGGCAAATACCACTTTCATTCGGTGATCCGTGTCCCAGCCATTCCTGAACCAATGAAAATGGGAAAAAGACAAAACAAAAGGAAACAAAAAAACAAGTCAACCCAAAGAAACCAAACTAGGGGCTCTAGCGGGTGAATGTCTGGTCCCTTTGGTGAATTCAGTGAAACTCACCAAGAACCCAGCGGACCATGGCTTCCAACTTCCACCATTATCAGTAAGGGCTAGGGACCAGGTCCCCGTGTGATTGGGGGCGTCTGCGACCCGCGGAGAGAGGAGGGCAAGCTCTGGAGGAGTCGGCTTTTCCACTTTTTTTTTTTTAATCTTTGGGAAGAAAAACAATAGGACTTGGCTACAGTAGATTTCTCAGTGCCTTCTTTAGGAATTTTCTCTTAAGCACATTTAATGGGGAAAGAAAAAAAGAGGACAGAACATTTGTCTCCGTGAAGTCCCTTTCTCTAAAAGCACTGGGGATCAAGAAGGAAGAAGACTGGGGAACAGCCAAATCCCGAGGAGGCCCTCCCTTTCAACTCACCCGGCTTGCCCCCGAGTAGGGCTGGTGGCGACAAACTGCCAAACTGATTCCCAGCTCTCCTCCTCCACGTCTTGGTGACTGTAGCTTCGCCCCTGCCCTTTCTCCTAATGAGACCCCCTCTTCTGAGGAGAAAAACAGCAACAACAATAGTATTCTCTTCTGTAAAACTGTGATGTATTGATGTGTGTTACTATTGTACATTTCTGTCTTGCTCCAAGTCACAGCTGGAGTGTCTAGTCCACGGACAAGGGGAAATGGAAATTTCACCACGGACAAGGGTTCACAAGAGCCAGGTCTCTCTCTCTCTCCCCCTCTATTTCTCTCTCTCTCCTCCTGCCCCCCACCCTTTCCTTATTTCTCTGCCAACGAGTTCCATGTAACATAATCCCAGGCTTCAGCATCCATTAGGTAATTTCGAATGCAGTGAGATTGTAGTGAAATGCCTCTAGGGCATGATCCTTTGTGAGAGGGCTTTTCCAGTGGCTGGAGGAAGAAGGGGTCACCTCTGCGGCCCCCCAAGGGAACAAGAGAGAGCCTCCAGCCCTGAGCTCAAGCCCCCCGCCCCCACACATACACTTCTGGTTTCTCACCGCTTATATGACAACATGCAAATCCTTTCACTCAGCCAGGGAGACCCAAACCAGCCTGGCTACGCCCCCAAAATGAAATTTACCTCTGCATTTTCTGTTGCCACGTTTCTGGCTCTAGAAGTATCTGATGCAGGCCTACATTGTAGGATATCCAGAGTAGTCTATTTTTTTGTTCAGATAAAAAGTATGTACGTGTATGTGTATGGTTAGCAAACTTGTAATAGGGCTATTAGTCTCATTGCTTCTTTTGTAATATAGAGTAACATCTTAGGAATTTTTATGATTGGTCATTATCATAGCTGGTATTTTCTGGGTTTTTTGTTTGTTTTTTCCATTTCCTCCCATTGCCCCCCAGGCTCTCTTTCTTCCTTTTGGACCTGACTTTCTGGCGGTGGGGAAAGACTTCAGGCTCTGACTTCCTCGTGCAGGCATTTCCTGACACTAGGCCTAGAGTCTGTGGACACTGTAACTTTCCTCGTTGTCTGTGTGTTTCTCCTATTTATTGTTCTTAAGATTCCAGGGCATGGAAGCAGGAGGGAGACCAAGGGGAAGCAAGGCTACCGATGGCCCTCAAAATCGGGACGGCATGTTGGCTGGTTCAGCTCCTCCTCCCCAACCCAGCTGGCGTTTTGGAGACTGAATTTTCTCATCCCTGGAGATCTGAGGACTACAAATCTCACGCAAGCAAACTTCCCACTGAGGTCCAGAACGCACCCCCAAACCCCTCTTGGCTGGCCTGTTGCCATGTTCAGTGACCCACTCCCCTGTAACATCAATTGGATCCGAAGGCCAGAGCATTTTCAGGTTCTTGCAAACCTCAGAGAACATGCTGGGCCTCAGATCTCATCAACTTCTTACTGGTTCCTCATTTTAATCCATTTGTAACATCCTCACCAAAAAAAAAAAAAAAAAAAAAAAAAAAAATCCCAAAACACAAAACAAAAAAAACAAACAAACACAGTAAACAAGCTTGCAGCCAAACCATGAGAAGATGCGTTCCCAAGAACCTGCCGTCTCATCTCCCCATCCCTTCCCAGCTGCCTGGCTCCATACCACCGGAGACTTATGGCAAGGGCAATGGTGTTTTTCCAGTTTCCACCTATCCAGGCCCCGGGGAGTTTCTGGACTGTCCTGATTAATTCCACCAGGCAGCTTCCAGCCTTGGGTAGGCCGAGGACATCTCACAAAGCAGGATCTTCAGCAGAAAGTGATTCTCCACTCCTCAACTCATTCAGGAAGATGAAGAAAGGCCAGATGATCTCCAATTTGCATTCATTTCTAGATGTTCATACTCCACCTGCCTCATTATCAACTTCAGGACT